TCAGCCATGTCTCATCAGCATTCTCCTGATGCAACAGTCGCTGTAAGATTGTTAATTCTAGGTGGCTCAACTCACACTTAGATTGCAAGGACTTCATACACAGTCCTCGTCAGAGCTCATAAAGGGAGCAGCCATGGGCTCCTCGATATCATCATCCTGCATCCGAACTGAACAAATTGAACATGCACCCATGGGCCCATGAAAATATGCTCCAAAACAACTTGTGGCTCGCGGTCCAGCTGTGTGGCTCGCTCACGAAGTATGCTCGGGCATGAGTCGCTGCTGACTGGATCCTGGAATGAAATAAGCATCACGCAATCAAACCTCCAATGATATAAAGGAACAATCATTTGCATGGAGCAGTCCTTGGGGGCCGAGTCCATGGCATCCTGCCCGCCCTTCTTCTTCTTCTTGGGCCCCTTGTTGGCCGCGCTTTGCTGATCCTGCACCAATGACATATGATCATACGTGAAGCATCTATAGCCTTGTAAAGAATGACGGTCCTCACGGGCCGAGTCCATCGCATCCCGATTCTTCTTCTTGTTCCGCCGGAGGCCCTGCAAAACCACAAAGTCATTTCGAAATCGTGCATGAAATCTCATTTGCATGGCACTGTCCTTCTTCCTCTTCTTGGGCCCATTGTCGGCCTCCTTGCCCACTTCGAGCTCATCTGCGATCCGCTCCGCCTTTTCGAGGTCGGTTGCATCATCCTTCAAAAGAAGCTATTGATCATGACTTCGCATGCGTGCATGAATCACACCGTCCTGCTCGGATGATGTCTTCGGCTCGATGTCGCTGTCCTTTCGGGTCTCCTACAGGGAACAGGGACACGCACGGTTCCATCATGCACGGGACTTGCACTCTGCACATCATCATCATCCTCATCAGAATCATCGATGACCATCGGCCAAATGCCGAAGATAGGTTCATCTAGATCAACTTTTGCTTGGGGACGACACAACCACAGGCCCCCGTCATCCTGATGGCCGGGGACACGCATACATCATGCAGACGTGAACATGTTAACATTTCTTCTTCCCAACACGAATCCTCGCAAGCATCATCGGCCGCCTCGCTCTCGCCCGGCGAGCTCGGCGGCTCAGGCACATCCCCGCAGCCGAGGTAGCTCTCCGTGACCGCTTGGCTCGGGTCCACCATGTCCTGTAGTTTGGCATATAATCGCGGAAATCTATAACATGTTTGTGCGTGTGATCGGATTCAACCAAGCGGCGGGTGGGTCTCCATCTTGTGAGGCCGCCATTTGCATCTGAATCATGTCACGCTCGTATTCGGCTTGTCGAAGGGCAGCTAAAGCCTCATACCTCCACGGAGAGTGCATGCCGGCCTGCAGCTCCTCCAGCTTTAAATCCAAGGGGTCGTCCGGGTCCTCCTGTTTTCGTGAAGTGAGCACACAAAAACTCGTAACCTCGCAAACATGATTTTCCCGAAATCCTCGGATGAGCTCTCGTCGCTCAGGAGGTTGAGGGAGCTGGTTTCATCGAAGTCCTGGCAGGTGATTGAAGGTCATGGCAATCTATACAGACAAGCACCATGGCATCATGCATGCAATGAGCGGCCTCATCATTTTCATCATTCAGATGATCTCCCAATTCCCGGGTTGATGCTTGCGAGAGCTCGAGCTCGGCCTGAGATAGAGCACACAAAAAATACCCATGCACCCAGCAACTCCAAAAGCCAAGAATCCTCCCCGTCTCCGGGGCCGTTGTCAATCGCCGCCGCCTCCTCACCGTCGGCGATCGGCAGCGGCTCGTCGGCGCCCTTCTTCTTTTCCTTCTTTTCCTGGGAGCAAACAAAGGCTTAATACCAAACCTTCGTGCAATCTGCAACCGAACGGGCACACCTTGCGCCGGAGGTCTTGCTTCAAGTCGTGAATCCTCTCGAATCTGCTGCTCGTGCCTGCACGGGCTTCTGAAAATGTAAGAGCATGCATGCATGCTCACAGCTATGAGTTGCCAGCGAGTGGCTGGATCGGAAGAGGTACCGTAGGCTCGAGATGAGCTTCCGCAGACGAACCGCGTCTTCTGCAGCTCGGCCGCGGACGGATTCCGATTCTTTGACTCGTAGCAATTTTGAATCCAAAAGGCCGTTCAGGAACAGCATCACGTCTGTTATAAAGTACCCTGACGGGACCTTGGTTGGGAGCACGGTGCACCACGGCTTGATCCATTTGTAGTGGAGGGATATCTCCATGGCCGTCGGCCTGGCCAATTCACTCTTCAAAGTGATCAGCTTCGCTCCCTGCCACGCAGGGTTCTGGATCATCGTCAGCATCTCGATCGGGAGCCGCTCGTAGGTCAGGGTCGCAATCAAAACCTAATATGCTGCCGGTCATCTTGCCAACAGACCGCTGCAAACAAACATCAAATGCATGCAAGGCTCAACCATCTCGTATGTCCACGAGATCTTGCCAGCTCCTAATGATCTCAAGATGCTCTGCAATATCAAGATCATGATTCGTGAACGGTCCTTCGAAATTGCAGTCGAGCCACGCACCGACCGCCATGTCTCGGCCGTGGGCAGCTCCCGAGCCAAGGGAGGCTTACCATCCCTAATGCGAGCCAGCGCTTCCGCAGCACGCCCTGCATCATCCATGGCTCCACGAGGAGGTCCAAGCACCCCTTCAAAATGCAAAATCGCACTTGAGACCTCGCAAGCCTTCAAAATCGCTCCAAATTTAAGGAAGTCCCAAGCACCCCTTCCAAATGCAAAGCCACCTAAGAGCTTAGAGCTCGCAAGCCTTGAAAATCGCCGCTTATACGAGCTGGTCTCGACATGTACCGTGGCATGACGCTTTCACATCCCATGCATGCGTGTGGCATGTAGCGCCTTCACACTGCGGTCTTCAACAGCGAAATTGCAACAAGTAAAGCATCTCAAAGGTCGCATGACGATGCCTGCAGAACTGGCTTGCAAAACGCATGCAGCCTCAGCCGCAAAAGCGATGCTCATGAGGAGCTTCTCGTTCATGATGCGGCCTTTTTGCAAGCAAATCATGCGATGTTCTGATCAGAGGCACGGCGACGGCACCCTGCCTGCCCGGCGATGTTCGGAAAGTCCCAAGAGGAGAGCATGGCAAGCACTTGCATGCACAGAGCGACGGTACGACTGCACTTGCTGCATGCTATGACTGCATTTGAACATGGAACGTCTGAGAACTCGGAGCTTGCTTGCAAGCTTTTGAGTTAGAGCTTCGAAAGTTAAAGGTTTTCTCGGGGTATATTCAACGGAAGAGCCACAGCTTCGAGCGAAGAATCGCCCTGGGAGCTTGCTTCTGTTGCTTTTGGAGCTTCGAAAGGTTTGGGGTTTCAGGGCACAGGGAAGGAGGCAGCCAAATTCTGAAGTAGCATGGTTGTTTTTACTACATGGTTTGCTTCGCGAAGGTTTAAACCCAACAGCGCACCGACAGGTTTTGAAAGGTTTCCGTTGGAGTCTTTCCCGCGGTTTTCGCGGTCATACAGACATGTATGGTTATATATATATATGTATAATGATGGGTATATAGGGTCTCTTTCTTCTTTTCTCTCCCATAGCTTGAGCCGGTTTGAGCCAAAATTGGAAATTAAAAGTCTGCAATCTTCTTTTTCATATACCTCGGAAGCGAGTAACATAGTAGTTTCTCTGTGTACAGGATGTTGGAAGCATAAAACATCAGCGGAAACAAAATACATCATAATGATGGCGTATGCTCCGGCGTCGTGCAAAATGCACTATCGGAGCCTCACGGTAAATAAGCTAAGCCCCAGATAAGCTTTCTTTGAAAGGAGTTTGAAACAATAGTCCAAGTTCGTTTTTTTCGACCGACACAACCGCTGTCCATTAAGGTTCAGCACGGAGTCCCAGATGGCCCAGTACTTGGCTGAGCATGCCATGGTGGTGGAGGAGCACGGCCATGACCCACTGCAGCCAGACCGCTTCAGGCAGCACCAGTAAAACACCAGAGGTCCGTGCATGCACCATGTCCATGTCATGTATTCGCCAGTTTTGTGGCCAGCACACTTCGCCATTTTTTGTGGCCAGCACAGTTCGCCATTTTTGTGGCCAGCACAGTAACTATACAGAAAGAATCAAACTTATTGGTTGTTTTTGTTTTCTCTCTCTCTATATATGTATAAATATAAATATATATATATATATATACACATATGTTTATATCTATCTATATATATATGTGTTTCTTCTTTCTGTGTATAATAATGTAGGCTGCATACATGTATATGTGTCTATATGTATGTATGTGTGTGTATATATACACATACATACATATATTTGTTTCATTATACACACCTATATACCCAGTTACATACAATCACTGTGCTTATATATATATATAAGCAAACGTATAGATGGTGATAAAGCCACATGGCTAGCCACTTGGTTTTTTTTCCTTTCCATATAGAGTCTTCTACATAATATATAATTACTTAGATATCTATATATATATATATATATGTGTGTATCTGTCTGTTTATCTACATATGTACATCTTTATATATACATACATTCATTTAATTGAACTATATAACATATATATATATATATACATTCTTTCTGTTGGCTAGCCAAGAAAGCTGGACACTGTATATGTTTCACATGGTATCTGTACATGGGTGTGTGTGTGTGTGTCTTTTCTTTTTCATCTAAACTCTCACGAACTTCATGTTGTTTTGGCAGAAATCCAGACAACTTTGGCTTGCATGATGTCTCCTTCCAGAATCAACAATCGCTGTGTTCTATATTCTGTACTGTTTTCTGTTGTTGTCCATACATAAAGAGACACAGACATATATTTTATGTGTATATACATATATAGACATGCATATCTGTCTTTACATATACATGTCTTCTGTGTGTCCTAATGTATCTATAGGATGTGCCTTTCAACGTGCCGCTATAGATTGCTTGAGATGTGCTTTCTCTGCCATCCTCGCAGCCACCTTGGCCTGCATTCCAATTTGTTTTAGGACCACACTTGTGCCGCCATGTCCCAAGTGTGGAGCATTTCTGACTTTTTGTCTGAACTTCGCCATCTGGGCCAGCTCACTAAGATGCGGCCAGGGAGCCTGGTCGTCACTACCATGGCGACCACACTCGTGGAAAGGATCCGTGCGGCCAAGAATTGGACATCGGCAGGCATCATCCAATTGATCGGTGAAGTCCAAAGCATGGAGCTGCCAGATGCCATAAAGGAGAGCATCCAGGAGGCCGTTGAGACATGCCAGACCAACGAAGCCTCCCACATCAAGCTCTCCACTTGCGGCCAGAAGATATTCCATGTGCCAGCATACTTGACCACGGCGGATTGGCAGGCTCTCGAATCTGCCGTATCCAAGGATGACCAGATGTCTGTCATGGCCAAAAGGCTCCGAGCAATGGGCCTTACCTCCCTGAAGGAGAACACGGTGCACCAGGTGCTCGCCACCCTGCTCTACGTCAACCGCAGCCGAGGCCAACCACAGATGCAGCCGAGGGCCATACATTCCATGGTAGACGACTTCCAGGCCATCTTCCACGGCACGGCCAAGATTGAGGCTGTGCCCAAACTGGCCACTTACTCGGAGGATCCTCTCCAGAATGGCGAGGCCTGGCTGAGCCAAGCATACACGAATGGCTGCACTCCAGCCAATAAGGTGCTTCCTCTGCATGCTTGGTACAGGAAGGTGCCCATTAGGAAGAACCATCATTTGCTGGTTGGCTATGATGTGCCGGCGGAGTCCAAGAAGGCACATGGAAGCCATGACCATCTGGCCAAAGCTGCCCAAATGCTCTCCCAATTGGCAGAACGGTGGGCTTCACCACCTGCAGAGCCAGAGATTAAACTCTTGCAGCCTCGCCAGGACCGGCTGGCTCTGCAGAACCTGCCAACACCGCAGCAGCAACCATCGCAGCTTGCACTTCTGCCGGTGCAGAACGAGCAGAACGAAGCGGTGCAGCAGCAGCCGCTGCAGCAGCAGCCGCTGCAGCAGCAGCCGCTGCAGCAGCCAGTGCAGCTGCAGCAGCCCTCGCAGCAGCCACTGCAACTGCAGCAGCCCTCGCCCCAGCCACTGCAGCTGCAGCAGCCGTCGCAGCAAACAGCACTGCAGCAGACTTCTGCTACGGCCCATGATGAGGCGGGCAGCCAAGCAGCAGTGCCGCCGGATCCCATGCTCGCCACAACCGAGCCAGACATGTGTACGGAGAAGCCCTGCAATTCCAAGCCAAAGACTTTGCAGGAGTTTGAGGACCAGCACTTCCAGGAACTCAGGAAGAGGAAGCTTGAGGCCAAAGAGAAGGCCGTGCCAAAGGCAAAAGCCAAAGCGAAAGCCAAGGCCAAGGCCAAGGCCAATCCCAAGGCTAAGGCCAATCCCAAGGCTAAGGCCAATCCCAAGGCTAAGGCCAAGGCCAAGGCGCAAAGGCGAACCAAGCGAAGCCAGTGGCCAAGAACCAGGACCACCTGCCGCCGCACAAGCGGGATCCACCGATTTTCGGGTGCCCCAAATGCCGAGGGAATCCAGGCGGTTGTGGGCAGTGCCAGAGCCCAACGTACACAGGCCTGCGGCTCCCAGGCCGAGAAGCCTATCGGGCCCATATGGCCCGACGGGCCAGGATGGCCAAGTGAGCTCCAGGGCCACGGCGGGGAGACCTCCCGTGTCACCATAATTGGCCATTTTGGCTGACCAGATCCGTTGGCTTAACCACGGGCCTTGCATTGGGGCAAAAGTTTCTCGCAAGTTGTTTGCTTTGCATGCAATGCTCATCTCTCTCTCTCTCTCTCTCTCTCTCTCTCTCTCTCTCTCTCTCTCTCTCTCTCTCTCTCTCTCTCTCTCTCTCTCTCTCTCTCTCTCTCTCTCTGTCTCTCTCTCTCTGTCTCTCTCTCTCTCTCTCTCTCTCGCTGTCGTCTCCGTGTAGAGATACACAGACACACACACACGTATATATATATATATATAGAAATGGTGTATACAATGGTTTATGTCGCATATATAATAAAGGTTCTATTTCTCCAATTACTTTCGCTTTTCATTCAATAACTGAAAAATATATGCCTATATACATGCAATAAATATACATATTTATATGTATAAATATATATATATATATATATATATATATATATATGTGTATATATATATATATATATACATATATTCTTATATGCGTATATATATATACACTTTTATATATATATATATATACATATATATATATATATATATATATATATATATACATGTGCGAGCATGAATTTGACGTCTGTGGACGATGGTCAATTTCTTCTTGTAGCTGGAATATATGTATTTCTCTTGAGGTATGATACTGCAAGAATCATATTCCTGACAAAGGGCCTCTATATGGCATGCAGGGTTTCTTTTTGGCGACATAGCAATCGGTGAGTGCCCTTTCCATTTCTGTCCTGCCAGCTCTGAGAATGCATGACTTCGGTCCGTGAAGCTTGTTGCTCCAAACAAGAAGTACCAGCAGAGGCAATGCATGCAGGACTATATATGTTTGAGCATATATGCTTGTCTATACAAATCCCAAGCTGGAACGTTTCCCGTTGATTACGTGCACACCAGATGGATGCAGACAGCTCAGATACATCGAAATATCTTAAAGTATGTGTTTACATATATATATATATATATAAGAAGTTCGGATCCATCATTTGTAAACCAAGTAGGCACTGTCCGAAGCCCTGGGTGACCATGGAGCCTTCCAAGAAGCAAGCCAAACTTCAACACCTTCTGACGTTCAAGGCCAGCCTGCCAGGCCATTCCCAAAGTGCTTTGGCGGGCTTCGTCAAAGCAGCCAAAGAGCAGGGCCTCCTGGAAGCCAGTTCTTCCAACGACCAGCGAAAGGCACGGCAACAGCTTCTTGAAAGCTGTGATGGCGGCCCCCTGGGACCATTGATCCAGCAGGCAGAACTGCCCATGAGCGACGGTGCCACAGTGACCATCCATTTTGCCAACCTTCTGGTCTATATCACCAGTCTTTTCGCCATGGGGGGCAGCTTCCATGATCTGCTCCAGCGGAAGCATGCGGCCAATCCCTCGTCGCTGGACCAGCCCTGGTCCTTGATCTTGTATTGCGACGAGGTGATCCCTGGCAATGTTCTTGGTCGTGCAGAACGCAAGCTATGGGCCATTTACGCCACATTCCTCCAGCTAGGCCAAGAAGCCATGGGCCACGAAGACATGTGGCTGACCATCAGCCTAGAAAGATCCGCCTTCGTGGCCCAATTGCCAGGTGGCATCGGCCAGGTGTTCGCCAAGATTCTGGAAGCCATCTTTTGCTGCCCCATGGCTGAACCATGTGGAGGCCTGCTCTTGAAAAGTCCACATGGGCCCATGGGCAACATCCGCCTCCATTTCAATTGGGGTATATGCCTCGCTGATGGGGCTGCCCAGAAGCAGATCTGGTCTTCCAAAGGCGACGCTGGTACCCGATTTTGCATGTTATGCGCAAACATCCACTCAGCAGCCACCATGGCTGCAGGCCAGGATGTCATTGACCATGCGACGACCAAATACCACCAACTGCGCTTAACAACCGACAATGAGGTCATCCAGTCCTACCATCGTTTGGACCAACGGCAGCAAACATGCACCAAGGCGGATTTCCAGCACTGGCAGCAGGCCGCAGGGTGGACGTGGAATGCCCATGCCCTCCTCTTGAACCAGCCGCTGTTGTCCAGAGGCCACATTCGACCAGTGAGCCAGTTTTGCCACGATTGGATGCATGGGATCTTGCAAGGCACTGGCCCTGTCGTCCTCTTCCAGACAATGGAGACCATTGGCATGGCAATGGGTTTCAATGCTTGGGATTCCATGGAAAAGTACATCCAGCTCTGGTCCTGTCCAGGGGCTTCCAAAGCAGGGCACCTGAAAGCTTTGTTTTCCTCCAAAATGGTGAGCAAACACCAGGCAAGTTATAAGTTTTCCTGCCAGGCCAGCGACCTCTTGAGTATATTCCCCATTGTGCGGCATTATCTCCACACCATGGTTATGCCGGTGGGCGGCTGCCCCATTAAGGCCTGCGAGGCATTCTTGGCCCATGCAGACCTGCTCGACCAGGTGCACCAAGGAACCATGTATGGAGCCACTACCAGGGCAAGCCTACTACCAGCTGCTGAGTTAGCCATCCAGAGTTTCGTGGAAGCCAACTTCGGAGTTTCCTTAATAAAGAAGTGGCACTGGCTTTTGCACCTGCCTGATTTCTTGGAGAGGCATGGGATGTTGCCAAGCACTTTCACCACTGAGCGGAAGCACAAAACCATTGCCAAGTATGCCACCAACTTGCAGAAGACCACGGCTTTCGAAAGCCATTTGATGCAGCAGGTCGTGGCCATGGAGATCACCACTCTGAAGGAGCCAGGTCTGTTCCCGGACACCTGCCAGCTGCTGAAGCCAAAGAAAGCTACCAAGCAGCAAGTCCAAGTCCTCCGCGACTTCGTGGATGGCCCATTGAACGAAGCCATGGTTGCTTCGAGTGCGAAGCTTGCCAAAGGTGGCACCATTCATGCCCACGATGTGGTTGTCTTCCAGTAGCAAGACGGACGTTGGGAAGTCGGCCAAGTCTGGTTCCACTTGGAAGTGGGTGCTCAGAAGGTCACACTTCTCCAGCGGTGGACTCCCACGGTGAACAAAGCATCCCACTCTGCGAAATGCACCATCATGAACGAGCAAGGCTTCGTTCCCATCGACTCCATCCAGTACCCACTGCTGTATAGTAAAGCCTCAGACCAAGAGGCCACGGTGCTCATCCCGTACCAGCTCAACTGCAGGCTGTGAAACATCCATGCTTCACCTATTGAGTGCAGGTTTGGGTTTCGCCCTGATCATCGTGCCTACCTGGAGATTTGGACTTCCTAAGGGGGGTTTAGGGTTCGTTTTCATGCATGGTTTGTAAGCTTTCAGCTCATGCCCTTCTGATTCTTTTTTTTTGATGCCCTCTTGCTCACAAGATATCCATGACACCGCCTATATATGGCCAGCTACATATGACATATAACCCATGTGAAAGCCTATATGGCCAGCCGATTTCCACATTGCTCCCATACTTCATGGCTGTTCCATGCCATATATTTACTGTAAGTATTTGCCACGAAAGCCACACCCAAAAACAGAGTTATAACTAGTTAGCTAACTCTACCTAATTAGCTATAAAAAAATACTTAACTCATGTTAACCAAGATAACTAGTTATAACACAGCGAGGATTCCAAGTGGGGGCTCAGACGGCGGACCACTGGGTGCGGCGGACGATCCGCGCCGGCCGCTGCGCCCTGGACTGGCTGGTCGTGGAAGAAGTCACGCAGCTCGACGTCGGGCTCTGGGCCGACATCGCCCAGCTCTCGACGAACCGCGACGTGAGGTTCCTGCTGCTGGGAGATTTCAGGCAGCTGCCCGCGGTGCAGGATGCCTTCGGCGGGGCGCCGGTGCTCCGGAACCTCAAGGAGACGCAGCTGCTCCACGACCTGGCCGGCGGCTGCGTGCACGAGCTCAGAGAGAACCAGAGGAGCGACGAGGGGATCTTTTCCTTCCTGGAGTGGTTGAAGGATGGTTGAAGGTGGACGAGGCGGAGCAGGTGGAGCTGCGGGACGCCGTGCAGCGGGCCCGGGAGCTGTTCCCCAGGCGCGGGGTGCCGGACACCTGCCTGGTGATCTCGCACGCGCGCCGGATCGCCATCAACGACCGGGAGAACCGCAGGCTGGCGCCGCCGAACGCCGTGCTGCTGGAGCACCGCGGATCGTCGGGCCCGGCGGGGACCAACCAGCCGCAGACCATGCGCGCTCAGGCTCGTGGGCGCCGGCGCCAAGGTGGCCAAGGGCTGCTTCGTCGAGGTCCGGGAGGTCGGGGAGCGGTTCGTGCTCGACGACGGGCAGAGCTTCTCGGGACATGAGCTCCTCCGCTTCACGCGCCTGTGCCACGCCATCACCTACGCGAGCTGCCAGGGGCTCACGCTCCGAGGGCGAGTGTGGCTCTGCGACGCCGACAACCCGCACTTCTCGGTGAAGCACCTCTACGTCGGGGCCTCGCGGGCCACGAGCGCGGAGCTGCTCTCCGCGTGCTGATTTGCGACGCCATTTCGGCTCGCACCAAAATCGGGGTACCTTCTCGGCATAGATGGTGCCAATGGGTACCCCAATTTCGGCGCGCGACAAAATCGGGGTACCTTTTCGGGGCACCTCCTCGGGATATAGGCGCGCAAACCGGGGATTTCCCGGTTTGGGAAGCTGCAAAAAAAACGCCTCGCTGGTGCCTCACGGACCGGCGCGAGCTTCATCCATGGCTGGCGGCTACTGATCACCCGCCAATTGAGCCTTGAACAGTCAGGCACCACCTCCACTCGCTGGGACCGCCGTGCCACAACCTAGAGCCTCTCCCCACAAGGGTGGATCATCGGCCCTAGGCCCCAGCTCAGCGTGCCCGACTAGGTTAAGAGTAGCGGCGGGTCGCGCAGTGGGCGGGCGCGCGGCGCAAAATTAGGGGACCTTTTAGGGGACCTTTTAGGGGACCCGCGGCGCGAGGTGACGGACAGGTGACAGATTTTTTTGCGGCGCGCGGAGCGGCGGGCGCGCGGCGCGAAGTGCCCAAAAGGTGCCTAAAAGGTGCCTAAAAGGTGCCCAATTTTTCGCGGCGCGCGGCGACGGCGACAACGGGCGAAAAGCACACCTCTCTCTGTGGGGAGTATCCCCCACCCCACGCTGCGTTGCAGTTGAGAGAATCGTGGTTCTAAATTTCGGCGTGGACCTCGGAGGCCTTATCGGCTCTAAACTGCAACGGAGTGCAGTTTTGAACCTCAACGGAGCACAGCTCCTGCCGATTTCACGGTCCGAAATCTGCTCGTATTCGGAAGTCGAAGACTGCAGGCCTGTGGGACTCGCGAGCTTTTTTTTCGAGCGAGTCCCACAGGCCTGCAGTCTTCGACTTCCGAATACGAGCAGATTTCGGACCGTGAAATCGGCAGGAGCTGTGCTCCGTTGAGGTTCAAAACTGCACTCCGTTGCAGTTTAGAGCCGATAAGGCCTCCGAGGTCCACGCCGAAATTTAGAACCACGATTCTCTCAACTGCAACGCAGCGTGGGGTGGGGGATACTCCCCACAGAGAGAGGTGATGCACTTGTGATGCACCTGTGGCGGTGCATCACGGGTCGTCACAACCTCGTCGTCGCCAGGTCGTCCTCCAGAACACCACGAACTGAAATTGTTTTGATCCCAGGCAGGTCCGGGAGGGCCGGGGGGGTGATGCACCTGTGGTGCACCCGTGGCGGTGCATCACGGGTCGTCGCAACCTCGTCGTCGCCAGGTCGTCCTCCAGAACACCACGAACTGAAATTGTTTTGATCCCAGGCAGGTCCGGGAGGGCCGGGCAGGTGATGCACCTGTGATGCACCTGTGGTGCACCCGTGGCGGTGCATCACGGGTCGTCGTTTCAGGTTGTGAAAATCCAACGGGAGTTTTGGTGGTGCGTCTTGAGTTCCATTTCGCAGAGCTGGAGGCGGGAGGTCCGAGAGCCGGGAGGTCTGCCAGAGGCTCGTGCCAGAGGCCTCTCTCTGTGGAGGGTGTTCCCAGTCTGTGTTCTGTGTCAGCTACAGGCCCTGTTTCGAGAGATGCTCAAGAATTCGGCATTTCGCGGGCCTGTCGATTCTGCAGCGTGCAGACGGGAGCTCAAGCAATCTTTGGCGAATCTTTGGGGCTCCAAAGTACTTGCAAACCGGGCGTGTGCTGGCTTGGAAGCTATGTGGGAGTTTGTGAGAGACTAGGACGGCCAGCGAGCCACCAGGGAGCGATTTGTGGGCCTTCGGAATTGCTGTGAGATGCTCCGAAGGCCTGAGAATGCCTAAGAAGCGATTTTTTTGGCCTGGGGAGACACATGAGTCCCACATGAGCCCACATGAGTCCCACATGAGTCCCACATGAGTCCCACATGAGTCCACATGAGTCCCACATGAGTCCCACATGAGTCCCACATGAGTTCCACATGAGTCGCAGCTATTGTGAGCTGCTGGGAATGCCTAGGAAGCGATTTTTTTGGCCTGGGGAGACACATGAGCCCCACATGAGTCCACATGAGTCCCACATGAGCCCCACATGAGTCCACATGAGTCCCACATGAGTCCCACATGAGTCCCACATGAGTCCACATGAGTCCCACATGAGTCCAACATGAGTCCACATGAGTCCCACATGAGTCCCACATGAGTCCACATGAGTCCCACATGAGTCCCACATGAGTCCACATGAGTCCCACATGAGTCCCACATGAGTCCCACATGAGTCGCAGCTATTGTGAGCTGCTGGGAAGGCCTGCGAGCTACTAGTAAGCGATTGTGAGGCTTGCAAGCGACTAGTAAGCGATTGTGAGGCCTGCAAGCGACTAGTAAGCGATTGTGAGGCCTGCAAGCGACTAGTAAGCGATTGTGAGCTGCTCGGGGAGGCCTGCGAACTTCTCGGAAGTGCTGTGAGCTATTCGGAAGTGCCGCGAAGCTTCTCGGAAGTGCTGCGAGGTGCAGTGAGCTACTAGGAAGTGCTGTGAGAAGCCTGCGAGATACTGGGAAGTGATTGCGAGCTCCTGCGCAGTTGCCGGCTCGGGGGCCCCCTTAGGGCCGCTTAAACGCTATTTGCAAGCACTTTTGAGCCCCAAAGATTGCTTGAGCTCCGGCCCGCACGTTGCAGAATCGACAGGCCTGCGAAGTGCCGAATTCTGACCCATGTCTCGAAACGAGGCCTGTAGCTGACACTGAACAGAGACTAGGAACACCCTCCACAGAGAGAGGCGAAATGCAGCCCTTTATAAAGGCTCAGAATTGAGTTGGGGTGGGAGCAAGTTTGTGAAAAACAGGGCACTTCATGGAAGTTCATGGAAAGGTTTGCGCGCAGAGCCGTCCATTTGATGCCATGGTGGGTCAACGAGTCAACGAGTCGATCAATCACGTTTTGGTGTGAGGGTCGTTGCAGTTGCCTTTGTGGTGGTCGTGCTGTGCTTTGGGCATCCGGAAACAAATGGGTATCTCGCAATTCCGAACAAAAAGGCTATCAGAACAAAGCCGGCCAGATGACGGTGAAGAAACTGAAGGTGCAGATGCTGGGAGAAAAATGCGCTCTTGTGGAGCGGCTGATGATCCCGTTGGATGGAACCGTTCAAATTCTGGAACAAATATTTAAAGACAGAAAAGTGGTCTTCTTGCGTGCTGGTGCAAGCGGCAAGTCTTCGTTGGCACAGTGTCTTTGTGCGAAGCAACCTCAAGTATTTGCAAGTCCATGCTTCCTTGCATTCTGCGTAAGCCTTTGAGAATTGGGCGAGAGCATTCAGAAAAGCCGTGGAGAAACTTTCTATTCAACATGACGCAGCGAACATCACAGAGGCGATCAAAAGCATTTACGAGAAGGACTATGTACTTGCTTTTGCGGGTGCCATTTGCTTTTTTTAAGCCCGAAGTTCTACGAGATGCTGACCAAGAACGCCCATTTATTTGAAACGGCACCCGATAGTAAATTGTTGTTGTCTGCAGCGTCAAAAGCAGAACCTGTGCAGGGACAAATTCGTGTAACGCCGTCCAAAATTACTGACAAGTTCATGTGGACGCCCCCAATGCCAAGTGTCAGCGTGCTTGGCGGCCAACTTGCTGCGGCTGGTGTTCGTTTGAGAAAGAATGCCATCAAGTTTGTCTTTCAAATATGTGGAGACCACAGTGGCATGGGTACAGGACAGAGGAATCAGAGGGAGCAGGGACGCCTGTGTGCAATGGACGGTCGAACAAACGGCGAAGTCAAGCTGGCGTGGGCAGATGAAAATCGGAGTGTCCCGACAGCTTTCTGGAATGGCTGGCAGCGGTTCGTGCAATCCGCGTCAACGGACATTATGCAAATCTAGCGAATATCCCCCAACAGCTCCTCGAGATTTTATGCCGTGGGGCTACCAGCAATTTAGATTCAGAACTGCGTCGCAATCTCACAGTCCATGGTTTCCCACTGCCAGTTTCTGAGAGCGATGCCAACGAGTTCGTGCGATATGACTGGAGTGCGGTGGGAGCCAGAGATGGCGTTTCCACTCACTTGTTGGCTTCTCATTATCGCTGCTTGTTGAAGAAGACGCGAAACCTGGAAGTGGACGTAAGCCTGGAGGTATCGTCAGGCACCGATCTGTTGTTGAGAGTGCTCTGCATTTTGCAAAAGTGGTTGGCGGTGTCATCCTTCAAGATGCACAAGTGCAGAAGATTTAATCGGAGCGAGGGGCTCCTTTTGAAGTCACTGTCATCAATCAGACACTGGAACGCTTGGGTTTTTGAGCAGGGTCTGTAGGGAGCGGAAACGAAGGGAAAGTCGATGTTTATGTTGTGCTGGAGGACCGTGCAACGATTGCGTTGGAAGCGGTCATGGTTTATCGTTCCCCGAAGGAGGTTGATAGCCATGGCGGGCGTTTTGTGCTGCTTGCTGTGTTTGCATGCTGGTTCACTCGTGGAAATGTCAGTGGTATTCCGCAGCCATATTATGTTGCAAGGAAGCCTTCGCGAAATGGTCGAAGCAGGCAAAACAATAGTCTATTCTGCACAGTGGCATACTGCACGCAGAGCATCGGACGGTCTCACATGTCCCTCTACGAACCGACATTTTGCCTCACACATCTTCGGTAGTCAACCGGAGCTTAGCTGTCACCGTCAGCAGCAATGGAAGACCAGGCCACGATCTGGTACCGGATCAACGAGACGGGCGAAACCAATGTCGTGGACATTCCGAAGGGTAAGATGATTGGCCATCTGAAGACTGCCATCCAGCAGCAGAATCCATCATTGGATGTGAGCAAGATCACCATCTACCAGTCCGAGCAGCACTTCAAGGACAAGAAGCAGGCACTGCCATTCTACACTATCAGAAATTGCACCCAAAACCCGACCAAAACCATTGTGTGTAAAGGTGTTTGTGAAAAGGGCGTCGGTATAATGTCTTTTTGAACATATTTGGAGTGTTTGTGTTGCTTGAGGCGCTGAAACCCACAGCAGCGATCGCGGAGCCCCATGGCAAGAATGGCGACAACCCGCTCTACATCCACTACGAGCAGCCATCAACATCAGCATCAAGTACAGACCAGCTGGTTCTCATACAGGCCAAACATGAAGGAAAGAGGGATTGTTTTAACGTTTTTTGTGTTACATGTTGTTTGCATTTCTTGTTTCGTTGCATGATGTGTGTCAGTATTGTGGGTCAGGAGATTGCCAAGATCGCCCGCACCACCCAAGAAATTGCCCAAAAGCAGGATGAGATTGCCGAAAGGCAGGATGAGATTGCCGAAAGGCAGGATGTTTTCGCAGGCCTGTTGTGCAGAATCCGCCCAGCTTCCCACAGTACCTGGAACCCGCGTTGGAAGGCCACGGTGATGAAAGCGTATGGGGTGCAGTATTGCGTTGTCTTGCATGCCCTGCGGGAGAGTTGGAGAGCTGACAGCCCGCACCATGTATGGTACTGGCCGTTCGAGGACATCAAGATCAGCACCGTTGGTGACCACATCTTTCCAAAAGACGAAGTTGACGGGAACCTTGCAAGGCAGTGTGAGATCGATGTCAATGATCCAAGGAACGGTTTGCCTCTCCTCAAGCACATCGAAGAGAAATATGGATGTGGCCACATTCAGATTGTGCTGCTTAGCGAGACTCCTGGTGGCGGCATGGATGTGCAGGTTTTGGTCGCCAGGGATATTAAGACTGATCCCATCATGACCTCTGACGATGCTTGGCACGGCCTTCCGCGCCGCGAGATCTGGCTCCATTGCCGCAGGATTACCTTTGGCGACTTGCATGGCCTGATAGTGCATTTGGCGCAGTGCCCTTACAGGCGCAGCCTCTATCACAAAGCAGCAATGGCACACGGCGAGCATTCGGATGAGTTCGCTCATCCGTCGCAGAACATGGAGACGTACCGCACGGGGTGTGACAAGATGCAGTTGATAGAACGTTTTTTCCGGTCACAGCATCACATCCTGCCATCGACAGCGTAACTCTGTCAGTGCGAAGCTTCCTTCCTGGTGGGTGGTGAAACCAGGGTGCTTTCACTGGAGTGCTTTGCAGATTAAAATTGTTGCGCATGTGTTGTGTGGTTTTCATGTTCCTTCCTGGTGGGTGGTGAAACCAAGGTGCTTTTCTCGGTTCGGGGCGAACGGAAGAATGAGAATGATGAGGATGATGAATACGATCAAGATGGTGCTGCCAGCCGGAGCATCGCCGACAGCATCCCTGCTGCGCCTTCCCGGCTTGCTGAAAGCAGTTCGGACATCAATAGCATCATCTGTGCTCGGCCTTCCTTGCTGCAGCCAGATGCCGGAACATCACCGGCATCATCCGTCCTGCACCTTCCTTCCTTTGGCCTTGATGTGTCAGCCGCTCGAGTCTTCCTCTTGGTCACAATCATCATCATCATCGTCACCATCACCATCATCATCATTATGGGCAGCATCATCACCAGCATCATCATTAGCATGATATTCAGCATATTGATCAAGACTTGAACACATTGCCTGTTTCTTGTTGCTGCTGTAGGGGTTGCTTCCCTCTACTCTGCTGCTGCTGGTCCTGTTGCGGGTTCTGTCAGTGGTTCCACATTTTTTTCGGCTGCACCTCCTCCTCCTCCTGCTGGGTCGGATCGGTTCGGAACGAGCATCGTGATCGGATCGGTTCGGAACGGGGATTGCTTGATAACCTAGCACTGACGTCGTGGCCTGGGCTTGATCTGCTCAAGAACGCCATTCGTGCCCAGTTCGCTTGAAATCCCTGATCTCGACGCCCAATCGGAAGCCCCTTGGATGAAGCATGGACAGGGCCGTCTTCATGTGGATGAGTTCCTGGATAGGGGCAGGGTCGTTAAACCCTGCGGGTTGGGGCCCAGGTCATGCTTGGCCGCATCATCGCATGTTCCCTGGTAGCGCTGCGCCTTGCGTACAAGCGTGAGGCGGCTTCTCTCACTGGGCAGACGCTTTACTGCAGCATGTCTTCGATCAACGAGCCCGGCAGGAGATCGTTGGGATGAGCCTGAAGGACCGAGGGCTTGGGTGACCGACAGATGATATATATGATGAAATGGAGAGGTCTGCAGCGGAGTCTATGAATAGGAGATGTGCACGGGTGAAGACACCGGCAGTGGACTACATGGTACATGGCAAAAGTGCCGACTCCTGAATTTCAATGTGAGGACAAAGCCTCGTCTTTGAAGGAGGTTCTTGCTGGCATGTTGCGTTGGGTGTGCGGGTGGGGTCTCTGAAGTTGGGGAGCTGTGCTTTGAGCCACGAGGTTTCTTGGGCATCTCATGGTTCGAGGATTCCAATATGTCGTGTCCTGATGCTGTGCCCCCTGAATGAAACAGCAGTTGCGCGTGCGACGGTGTTGGTCGGTGGGTGCAATCGGCGCGCAGATACACGCCGTTTCGCGACTAGACACTTGCAGCTTCTAGCAATGCCTCCGAAGATGCCAGGCAAGCCCTCGGTATGGCAGGCTCGAGGTGCTGGGAGAGTGCTGCAGTGCTCCAGGCCATGCCGTCCGACTAGCAGAACCCGGCTAGGCAGCCGTGGAAAGGCTCGGGCCACGGCCCTTTAACTCCGGCTAGTGCAGCCGTGCAGGGAAAAGCACAGCGATGGTGTGTCGAGTCGCAGCACGAAGTGGCCAGCGTGATATCTACAGTTTAGCCACGTGTTGCTCCTGCTTCCCAGGTCGAGCTCTGCAAGACGCCGGGCGCACGGAGTGATGCCCTGGTTACCCTAAGTCCCGAACCCGCCGATCCCGGACCCTTAGAACCCAATCCCTATACTAGTCTGTGCTGTGAGTCGATCTCGGAGCTGCCGTGCCGCTAAAGGTTCCGCTCGACGAGCCTTCAGCGATCGCCAGGAGCCCAATGCCGTTGTGCTCATCAGCCTTGCTCAGCCGTACAGAGCTTTGCACGTACCTTGCGCGAGTTTTGCGTCTAGCTCGTTTTTTTGTATGGTCTGGACATAAGCGCCACATGACTCTCACATGAGTCCCACATGAGTCCCACATGAGTCCCACATGAGTCTCACATGAGTCCCACATGAGTCTCACATGAGTCCCACATGAGTCCCACATGAGTCTCACATGAGTCCCACATGAGTCTCACATGAGTCCCACATGAGTCCCACATGAGTCCCACATGAGTCCCACATGTGTGAAGGGTCCTCTCGGAGTTATCACGGAGGCGCCGTGGGTCCGGGATTGAAATCACGAAGTTGTCTGACTGCCAGTGGCACCGGTCGCCGAGTCAGCCGAGCCACGGGCTCCCCGGAGCCACGGGGCACCGGGAGTGCGTGCTTCAGCAGGGTTTCCGAGCCATCCGTGGCTCGCACCATCATCGAGTCGTAACTCGAAACCTCCCGCACCGCCCCGTACTGGGGCTGGAAGCTCCTCTCCGCATTGGTGGGGGCCCGGAACGCCCCCGCCTCCTCCAATCGCCGCTGACGGCTCCTCGTCAACTCATCGTTGTTCTTGAACTTTCGAGCGTTGTCTTGATAGACACGAAAAGTCGCAGCCGGCATCGTCTCCACATCCTCCAAGGCTACAGTAACCGCCTGGTGCGGACGGGCATTGTAGCCTCCGTAGCTTCGTCCACGTGGTCGCCCCACCCGCCACCGTGCCGGGCCACCTCGCCCGCCAGATCCTTCTTCAAAGTTTGGATGGCTCGATCCACCACCGCCGTCGCATTGCGGTCCGTCGCGTCCTTCTGCCGATGCACCACGCCGCCGGGCAGTGCCGCCTCCAGGCCCCTGAATTCGTTCCCCAGGTCTGTCGTCACAACATAATTGCCCTCCTGGCCGACCAGCTCGGGGATGATCTCCGCAGCAGCCCTTGTCACCGTCTCCGCCCGCTTGTCGGGCAACGCCTTCGTCGCCACCTCCCGGGTGAAGACATCCGTCACTATACCAGCCCGTATTTGTTGGCCCGCCTTGTGTTTTGGGAGAAGTCCACCAGGTCAGCTTGCAATCGGTCGTTGGGCCCCTCCGCTGCGCTCTTCCCCAGGCTCCGGGGCTTTGGCGCGAGGATCTGCCTCGCCACATCGCTCCGCAGCAGAGCCGCCCGGGCACTCCCTCCGAGCGATCTGGTAGAGCTTGCGGGAGTCCCGCACGTTGAAGTCCTGGGCCAGCTGCTGCAGCAGCCCGATGGCCTCCTCCTCCGCCATTTCCTTAAAGCTTTGGGGGTGGTGCGTTTGGCGTGCCGCCCATTACAGGCCCGTTTCGGGACCCAAAACGCCCCCAAAACCGCATTCTCCCAGCCCGTCGCGCCCTAGGAGAATAGCTTTTTTGGACCCCAAGACGCCCCCAAAACCATATTCTCCCAGCCCCTCGACTGAGCGAGGCCCTGGGAGAATAGCCCTTTCGAGGCTCAATCCGAGTCGCCTTTGCGGCCCTTCTTCTTTTCCAGCTTCTCTATTCTGTGCTGCAGGCCCTTGCAGACCTGCCACAGGACCGCCGTGCGCTGGTAATCGAGCGTCATGACCTCCCGGTCCTCGAACTTCTTGAGCTTGCACAGGCTCTTGCCCAGATTGCCCGAGGCCTCCACGTGCTGGGCCACGAAGCCCACCCGGGCCGTCCGTCGTCGCCGTCGAAGCATTGCTGTGCCTCCTCCGCCGACACGGGGCGCAGATTCGTCTTAGGCTCTCGTCGCGCCACCCAGACGCCGAAAGCCGTAAAAACAGGTCACCTCGCCATCAGAACCGCCTCCCGTGTTCGCTTCTATGAGCAGGTTTGCCGGCCCGCTGCTGGTGTTCAGGGAGATGGTCTGGTCCAGCAACACCGTGGTCTCGCCAGTGCGCCACGTTCCGGATCAATGTGCCCCGGCGACCCCACGGCGATCTGCTCCAGCAGGGGGCTGAGGACCTGCGCCCCACTGGTGCCTCCCGACAAACTCAGGAAAGGCAGGCTTGCTTCCGGCGCGATGGCGCCGTTCACCTGAGTGCCGCCTCGGAACGTTAAAAAGAAGCCGGCGAGGTCCGACTCCAGCAAGGGGGCGCGGAGGCGCAGGTCGCTCTCGATCTGCTCATTAACCAGGATGCTGCCGTTCGTGGTCACGTTCCCCGTGGCCGCCACGGATCCCGCGAGCAGCTGGGCGAAATCCGCCGTGGTCGCGTTCAGCGTCTTCGCCGCGTTGACGGTGATGTCCTGATCCAGCGTGATTCCCGCGGCGGCGAAAGAGGCCAGGAGCGTGCTGTCGATGGCCCGGAGCACGATGGGGGCGCCCCGGAGCTCTGGATTTTCCAGCAAGCTGGAGGCGGTGAGGCTCGTCTCCATGCGCGACTGTGCGAGTGGTCCGCTGCGGCTGCGAGTGCATGGCGGAACAGATGCTGCAGCAGTGGACGGAGCGCCTGGGCGTGCCCTATCGCGGGCAGCGCCTGGCCGGGGCCAGCCTGGAGGTCTTCCTGCACCTGCTGCAGGGAAAGCGCGACACCACGAGCCGCCGGGAGGAGCTCCTGGCCCAGCAGCAGGGCATGTGCAAGCTGTGCGGCGCCCCCATCGCTCTAGGAACCTTCGAAGTCGATCACGTCATTGCGGTCTCCCAGTCCTTCTCCGGACAGCAGCAGGAGCTGCAGGCGCTGTGCTTGGAGTGCCACCGAACAAAGACGAGCCTCGAAGGCAACCACAGCACTACCCTGGAGAGCCGCTTCTCTCGCTATGCCTACCAGAACTACGCGGCCTCGCCGAGGCTCCCGCCGCTGGTCTTCCAGCTTCAGAAGTGGGACGACGCCCGCCCCTGTCAGGGCATCGATGTGTGTCGCTGCCGAAAGAACGGCCTGGCCAACGCTCGCTTCCCGCTTCCCGTCTTCTGCCCCCTGGATTGCATCGTCCCCGCAGAAGAGGGCAAGCTGGCGGATCTCATGTGGATCGAGATGGCCTCCGACCACCGCAAAAGCGCGCTGGATCGGCTGCCCTACGTCGGGAGGGGCTGGTACGCCAAGCCTGTGTGCGCCTATCTGCTCGAGGCGGGGCTCGCCAAGTGGCAGCACTTCAAGTGGAGCCTGGACGCCACGGCCCACGTCGATCAGCACTGCCTCGAACAGGTCCTGCAGCGCATGGAGCACAATTGGCCCGAAGGCGAGGAGCACTACGCCAAGCTCGCCGTCAACAGTCTCGTGGGCCTCTTCGCCCGGAACCTGGAACTCATCTACTCCATGAAAACTTCCAATCACCAAGTGGACGGGGAGGGCTGCAGCTGGCGCCAGACCTTCACCGACGCGGCCGGGAGAACGCACTGGGGCCACATTTTTGTGACGGAGCTGCTCTCAAACAGCAGCTACCGGCCGATTCACGACTTCATCATGGGGGCCGAGTACGTCGCAGTGGCGCGGATTCGCCAGGCTCTGGCGGACGTGCCCAGGCGCTACTTGAAGTGCATCAAGACCGATTGCCTGGTGATGCAGGACGTCCCGAAGGTACAGGCCGGCCGTGGAGCGACTGCTGCAGATGTCGCACCGGGCGCAAACGGCGGACCACTGGGTGCGGCGGAACGTGAGGAATGGGCACTGCAGCGCCACCTGGTTGGTCATCGAAGAACTGACCCAATTAGACACCCCCCTGTGGGCCGACATTGCCTGTCTGAGCATGAACAAGAAGATTCGCTTCCTGCTGCTCGGGGACTTTAGGCAGTTGCCCGCTGTGCTCGATAGCTTCGCGGGCGCGGAGGTCTGCAAGGAGCTGAAGCACAGCCAGCTGCTGCACGATCTGGCCGGGGGCTGACTGCAGATCAACGAGCGGGAGAATCGCAGGCTCGCCCCCGCCGACGCCCTGCTGGTGGAATACGAGGCTCGCGGCGCGGTGCCGACGAATGCGCCGCAGACCATGAGGGTCTGGCCGGGCCTGCGGCTCATCGGAGCGGGCGGCAAGGTGCAGAAGGGCACCTTCCTGACCGTGGAAGCGGCGGAGGGGGATGTGGTCCGCCTAGAGAGCGGCCAGTCCTTTGCGGGCCCGGACCTGCTAAAGCACACTCGGCTTTGCAGCGCCATCACCTACGCGTCAGTTCAGGGGCTGACCCTGAGGGGGCGGGTATGGCTCTACGATGTGGAGAGCCCGCACTTCACGCTCAAGCATCTCTACATGGGCTGCTCCCGGGCGACCAATTCGGAGCTTTTGAGTGTGATTTGAGGGATTATGTAAATTTACATGATCCGCAGTCTATGGTTTTTGACTTCAACTTGAGCGGTTTTTTCGGGGGTGCCAGCATTCGTCAGATCTGACGAGCTGTGGCACCGGCCCATTTTTCGATCAAATTGAGCGGGTTTGAAGTACTTCAGCCGCTCTTCAGCCATCCTTGGATCGAAGGATCGATGAAGTGCTTTTTTCTCGTCAAATCGAGCGTTTTTTGTTCAGTTCAGACTACGTCGGATCCGACGGAGTCTGAACAAGGCCCGTTTTTATGACAAAACGCGAGTTCAGAGCTGTTGTCACAGCTGTTCTAAATCGAGAACAACCCGGACGCTGCAAAAAAAAGGGCATAGTTTCGTTCCCCACACGCCCCAACTGGGGGCGGCAGATGCTGCAAAAAAACGGGCAGCATTCCGTTCCCCGACACCCCCCCGCGAGGGAGGCTGAGAGGGTATCCCGCCCAGGCACACAGGCCTGGCGGGGGTGGCGAGGCTTCGGAGACGCCCCATTCCCTGGACGCCTTCCCAGTGCCTCACGGACCGGCGCGAGCTTCATCGGTGGCTGGCGGTTACTGATGACCCGCCAATTGAGCCTTGAACAGTCAGGCACCACCTCCACTCGCTGGGACCGCCGTGCCACAACCTAGAGCCTCTCCCCAGAAGGGTGGATCATCGGCTCTAGGCCCCAGCTCAGCGTGCCCCACTAGCGGACGGCGAGGCTTCCCTGGATTCAGGGAGGCCAGAACAGGGCCTGTTTTTGATCAAATTCTTGTGGGGATGCCAAACCGGGCGAGACCCGGAATCAAACCGGGCGAGCCCCGGAATCAAACCGGGCGAGCCCCGGAATCAAACCGGGCGAGGGCGGCGGGTGGCAACCAACGAGGGAGTGGCTTTCTTGTGAAAAGCGAGCCGCGTGTTTGGGGTGGCTTGGTTTAGGGGGTTTCGTTCCGGGAGTTCGGGGTCCCTAACCCTTTGTTCGCCCCCCCGGTAGGAGTGCCAGCCAAGTGCCCTGCATGCAAGTGAGTGCGCGACGAGCCCCACCCCCGTAGGAGCCCGAACCCCTCGTCCCTGCCTTAGGTCCCTATCCCACCCGAGGCCCCGAACCCTTGCTTCTGCCGCTGCTTAAAGGCCCGCTGGGCTTAGTAAAAAGTTATCATGCTTAGTATTCGGTTGGTCGACTTAATGACTGACTTATCCCACTTAGCATAACTCCATTTAGCATAGATAGCTAAGTCAACTTATCGTTGCAGCTAAGTCATACTTAGATAAGTCTGCTAAGTAAACTAAGTGGTTTCAGAGCTGATGGATTTGTGATTTTTGAACATGCAATTTCCAACCGTTTGCCTCCCAAAAGGGAACGTGTTATAGACATATTTACACGAAGACCGCCATTGATTGCAGGGCTGCAAGCTCGCAGGCAGGTCTTTTTTTCTCATGGCAGCACCACGACAGCACTGTCGCCTTGCACACTGAAGGCACAAGTGGCATGGATATGCTTGGTTTCTACAAGGGCCACATCGTCCGACAGGGTGAACATGGCTCCATGCACGTGGTTCCAAAGAGTGACATGTGACCAGCATGTCCCATCTGCCTGGACGTGGTAGCCCACCCTGCCGACAAGCCTTTCACCATCCAGATGCAAAACCGCGAGGTCTTTTGCCGAAACTGTGAAGTTCCCTGCATGCACAGCCTGGTTTGCTGTCATGATCTCGCCCTGGATGTTCATGCGTCGCCGGAGCTCGGCTTGGAGCTTGGCAGGGGCTGGTCGCACAGGCTGAACCAAGTGCACCCCTTCCTAAACTGCATACGACGAAACTGGAAACAAAATGTTGTGAACCTTTTTATAACAACATCTAGTGGTATATAGAAGAAATAAATGCATAATGCATGCAAGCGTCCCCTGGGAGAAAAGCCGGATCGGCGAGCTGCTGCAAATGCCCATGTAGCACATCATCGAGTATGCTCTTCTCAAAAGCCCGACTTGTGTCGAGTACTTGGTTGGTGATTTTCTTGATGATTTTGTGCTTTCTTTCGTGCACAAAGCAGCTCATCAGACCTGAGTGTTTGGCCAACTGAAGGGGCAAGTGGAGTGCCAAATGGCACTTGGGTACCCAAAAGGAGTCCTCACCGTAGCGGGCCTTAGCGAGGTCCAGATGGCCTTTCACCAAGACTTGCAGTTGGACTGCAGGGAAAGGATCTCCTATGGCGATCTTTTGCAAAGCATCCAGGACCTTGCACATCGCCAACCAAACCTCGCATGAGTTTCTCATGTCCTCGTTGCATTGCGGCAGCACCCAGAGCACAAGATAGGTTCGCAGCACCTGCAGGAAGTTCAGAGCCTCCGATGCACTGCACTTGAGAGGATCACTGTAGGATCCTCTCTCTTGCAGCACATCCTTCGGGGCAGCACCTCGCAGACGTGCAGGCCATGTGAAAGTCCTTGCGAACCGCTCAATGTCGTTGTGCTTCCAGCCATTGTGATGGAGGTCTCCAAGGAAAAGCCCTGTCAGCACATTGAACAGCCCTGAGACCAGGTAGACGTGCATCCAGTCAAACATAATGCAGTCTATCAGCTTGGGGCCATAGGCTGCATGGGCCAGTAAGCCCATTGGTTTAAAGTTAAAACCCAGGGCAGTCTGCAGTTTTTCGAACTTTGTCTTGGTCTGCAAGGGCTTCTGCTCAGCGAGGTAGTCCATATAGGCTTTGATGGACTCCTTCGTCTGGCGACGAAATCTGGAAATGTCGGTCTCCAGGCTGGATACTTGTGTGCCCCGACTGCTGGCAGCAACGTGCGACTTGTGGTCGACTGCATTCTGGCAGTGCACACAGAACACGAGTCCAGAAGCACCCTTGTTGCAGAGGGTTTGCTTTATAGCAGCTTCGTCGGAGATTAGTATGCCAAGATCGGCAAACAGAGGGGGAGAGCCGATGGGGCAGTTGACCATAAGTCCCTGCCGCCAATCGGGGGTCTCGAAAAAAAACCTGGCCAGCTGGCGGAACAAAGTAAACCAGCACGACTCGCAGGACATCGCATGGGCTCCCAGTTCTTGCAGGGACCAATAGATGACCTGGGCCTTGCGACGGTTCACGTGCTTCAGTTGATTGCCCGGTGCGATTTCGTCCGAATACCAAATCAGAGTCCAAGGCTTCTCGTAGGTCGGCGGCTTCAGTGCCATTTGCTTCTGCAAGAGCTGGCCGAAGGCTGCACAGTGCTCGCATGCCCAAGCCAGCATTGCAGCTGGACTCAAAATCGGAATTGTAACATCGGTGCCGTCTTCCTTCTGAAGTGTGGGCTCGATGTAGATGGGCCCATAAGGGGTAGCATAATCATGCAGCAGTTCTTCACGAGCTCTTTTCACCGAGCTCCGGCCTGTAGCTGCAGGTAGCTCATCCAGCTCACGAATCTCCTTCAGGATCTGAGCGAGGGCTCTTTGGGTGGTGAAAACTTTCCTTCCCAATTGCGACAACGGGTTGGCCGATTTGGATCCCGACGATTGGGAAGCCATGTGGTCTGCTTGCGAGCTTTACACAGCCCTGCAAAAGCGACCAAAGTTGTTTCAGGACTCTCTGATATGTGCATGTTCTGGATAAACCCCATTGCAGTGTGCTTGCATATATGTGTGTATATATATATATATATACATATATATGCATAACCCATAAACTGTCATAACATGCCATATGTATATACATATTATATATATATATACTTTGGTACAGTGTATAAAGTACATACAAACACGAACTTTATAAAACCCTATAAACCCTTAAACCCTAAACCCTCAACCCTCAACCCTAAAATACACTCTGCCACACATGGACATGATCCTCTGGCCATCATGCAAGCTGTCGAAGCTATCATCCACATCGCTCGTGCACACATGTGCATGCGGGCAAACCACACATTTTGCGGCTCAGTCGAATCCTAAGTCGCTGCATATAACACCAGATTGCCATGCAAGCCTCCGTGCACACGGCATGTTCTGTCCGTGCACAAAGTTCGTTGAGGCTGATGGCACTGAAACCCCGGGTGAATGGAACATGGTGCACCATGGCACCACAGATAAACATATATAGACCCGAGACGGTGCAGGATGTCTCTGCAGTCCCCATTTCTTGCCGTATACGTGCACGGCCATTGCCGTCTGTGTATACGGCCATCACTGCAGAAGTCACCTGTACAGTCTGCAAGAAAGGCATATAGACATGCATACATGTTCCTATATAGATTGTATATACATCTACATAGATATAGACTGCACACTTCGCATACAGAGACACATGTCATGTCTGCATGCCAACCAAAATCACTTCTTGAAGCACGACGGACAACAGCCCGGTCGGTTGCGGCATTTGCCGCAGCCGTTGGGTCGCAATTTCAACCTCTTGCTCATGCTCAGATTCTTGATGCTCAGCTTGGGCTGGGACTGCGACTTCGCCTTCGCTGCCGGCTTCTTCTTCGGCTGCACACTCTTCGTCTGCTGGAGCTTTGCGGCAGGCTTTTTCCGGGGCTTCTCAGTCTCCTCATCTTCCTCATCTCCCTCTGCTGCCGCTTTGTTTGCATTCCATGCAGCAAGCATCTGACGAGCCTGCTCGGCCGGACCCACAGGCTCCTGCCCAGCCTTGGGCACAGCAAGCTGCTGATCGTGAGGCTGCACCGGGCATGCGGCCACAGCAAGCTGCTGCTGATGAGGCTGCACCGGGCATGCGGCCACAGCAAGCTGCTGATGATGAGGCTGCACCGGGCTTGAAACACGATGGCTGGACTCTGGAGAGTCGTGCGGTGGGCTCGTCGTCGCCATCATGCTTGTAGCCCGATTTGGACTGCTTTCGTTGCCGCCGGCTTTTCCCAACAACTTGAAGCCTGGCAGTTGCGAGCTGCTGGACTGCTGCTGAAACTGCTGCATGCATGTCGACATGCAGCTCATCATTCCCATCATGCTCATGCCGTTGCCGTCGGCCATCATCTTCTTCATCAGGCTCTGACTCATCATGTTGTTGCCAACGATGTTGCTGCTGCTGCTGCTGCTGAGGGACTTGTGACTGCCTCGCAGAGGACCATGGGCAACAAGGCTCGAAGCAGGGAGCTCGCCTGCTTCAGCCTTTTCAAAGTGACTGCGGTAGATCTCGGGCAACAAGGCTGGCTCCTTGTACACGGCCACAAATTCGTGGTCCTTGGCATCCTTGTTCTTTTTGAGCCTGCTTTTGATGATGGTTTTCAGCTTCTTCACAGCCCCGTGAAAATCATCAGGAGACTGAAGGCCAGCTGACTGCAGTGTTGCCATCGTTGAGACGATATGACCTGTCGCCTTCTCCGATGGCCAATACAGGCCCATCTTCTCCATGATCTCGGCGATGTGATTGCACCTTGAGTGCACTCCAGCACTGGCCTCGGCCAGGACTTGCTTGTCTTCAGCTGACAAAAAGCAGAAGAAGTTGTCGACTTCCTGGGTCTGGTTGCCCTTCTTCTTCTTCTTGCCAGCAGCCATCATCCCCGACGAGACGGAGTTGGAGACTGCTTTTCCAAGCTCCTGTTTTTGGCTCTCGTTCCAGGGCCCTTGCTGGATCAAGCTGCACAGCTCAGCTGCCTCTTGCATGGTCACTTTGTGTTGCGAGATGGCTCGCACGGCACAGTCTTTCTGTGCAGCAAGCATGCCGTCGAAGTGATCGCCCATGATCGGCTTCTGCTTGTGGAGCATGTCATGGAGCTGGTTCAAGAAGGCGGCTGCCATGGCGAGAGGAAAGCAGGAATCCCTCAAAAGTCGTCCTGCTGTGGCGAGCTATGAAAGCCCTGCCTGCGAACAACTCACGATTCCGGCATGCATTTCTTGCAGGACAGCCATGTATATATACATAGACATATATGTATAGTTACACAACCTGCACACTGAGCACTCGATCTTTCCTCTCTTGAATCAAAAATCAAAACAGTGGCACGGACTGGGCCAGACGGAGAAACCTCGGATCCGTCTTTCGAAAAAGCCGTTTCTTGGGCAGCTTCTTGGCTGCCATGGTCTTGGACCAGTTGCAGCTCCAAATCTTGCGGCCGTGGACAAGGAGCTTGTGGCCCATGACCTTCAACACGTGTGTCGACTGGATGCGACCAGCCACCAGCATGCTGTGCCGGATGGCGGTGCTCACAGCCGACACTTTCACGTCTTGCTCGGCCGGGTACGTGCCGGACCAGACTTGTGCTCCGGAGAGCATCCGGGCCTGGACAACCAGAAACCCAAACCTCAGCCGGCCAGTCAAGGACACTGCCACGGCCCGGACCTCAGCTGGCCGAGTGACCATCCACTTGAGGAGACCACCTCGTTCGCATCGCCAAAGGCGAGCTCCCTGGCCCAGCTCCCTCGACAAGTAACAAGCATATCCCTGATGCGGAAAATAATCGTGTCCTACATGTACACGATAGCATTTCAACAATCCCAAAGGCTCGAACTTCTCGTTCCCCGGCACAAGCTGATTGGGCTCGCTCCATGCCGCTTCCAGTTGTTGTATGTCCGGGCGAGCGACCACGGCCATGATTACGATAAAAGGTGCGGCTTGGAAGTTGTATGCTCTGCTTGCGAGCAAAATGCCCTGCAAGCGAGACACAACTGAAAAGCTCACCCTGCTTGCTGCGACCTATTAATGCATGACAGTCTACAGTGCACAGCAGAAATCACTCATGAAATGCCATGATGCACAGACGGCTTTCTTTGAATCGCAGCACAAGTCAATCCATTGTTCCTAGTGAACCAGCAAAAAGTCTCTGGAGCTGCACTGCTATGTAACAGGAGCTCTCGTGGTCACGGACCAGCACAGCATCGTGGCACGAGTCCACGGCCATGATGGACATCCAGACACCTTCGTCTTTGTAGATGGGGCTTCCAACAATGCCTAGCACGAGCCACTCCAGCACACGTTCCCGATCTTCGGTTTCCAGGCTCCACGTCTGCAGATTCTCGGTCTGCAGTTTTCGCAACCAGCTAGTGACTAGTGGCGAAGAACATCGTAACTATCTGGCATCCACAGACTGATTTCCGTGCAGCAGAGCCAAAGCTCTCGGATGTTCTACCTATTTTGTTGTGGGCTTTCGTCATCCTTGCACTGGAGCCTCCAAAGTCGCAGGCAGGGCTGTCAGCTCGCCAGCAGGCAGAAGCACATGTGCAGAGCCAGTGCACGTGGGATGCTGAAACACACGGTGTTGTTATTGCTTCCGTGGTTGTTCTGACTGCTGTTGTTGCTGTGGCTGTGGTGCTTTCTTGTTGTTGGTGCCTGGTGGTTGTCTCGGTGGTCCTGTTGTTGCTGTTGTCGCTGTTGTTGATGTATGTAATATAAAAGAATAGATAATATACCAGGATCGTAATACATTATATAGTAATATATAATATCGTGGTATAGTAGTATATACAGTATAGTGCATTATAGTATACAATGTAGAATATATTCTGTATACTATACTATACAGAGAGTATAGCATTGTCATGTAGTATAATATATAATAATATTCTGCTGACAGACTACAGAGACAGAGAGACAAACACACACACACACACACACACACACACACACACACACACACACACACACACACACACACACACACACACACACACACACACACACACACACACACACACACACACACACACACACACACACACACACACACACACACACACACACACACACACACACACATGAGACACACGCACACACACACACACACACACACACATGCACACACACAGTCACACAAACACACAAACACACAACACACAACACACAACCACAGAACACACAAACACGCAACACACACAGACACACAGACACACACACGCACACCACATGCACACTCTCAAGCGTACAGACACACAATCAGACACAGACACAGACACACACACACACACACACACACACACACACACACACACACATACACACACACACACACACACACCCAAACACCCACCCACCCACCCACCCACCCACGACACACACACACGCACACACCCCACGCACCACACGCACCACGCCCACGCACGCCCACGCCCGCACACACGCACGCCCACGCACGCACGTCCACGCACACACACACACACACACACCCACACACACACACACACCCACACACACACCTACACACCCCCACCCCCACCGACACTGATGGATTCGGCCAAGAGTACGAGTGCAAGAGGAAAAAGAGAGGCATGTTGTTGCAAAAGTTTGTCAGATTGCGGCAAACGTGCAAAGCTTTATGCTCAAGCAAAAGGTGGAAACCGTAAATGCACTAATCTTGCTGCCTCAGGGGGCCAGCGTTTTCTAATCTGGCTGCCTCAGGGGGCCCAGCTTGCAGGTACACAGTTCAGCGTCCTGAACTGCTTCCCACTCCATGGCATAGCTTCGTTGCATTGGGTCTGCCAAGGAGTGCCCAATGCCCCTGCAACAGTTGATTTGGTAAATGTCCAATGTCTGATTATGTTGAAAAGCAAAAATTGCAAACAGTGTAGGAGTGACCCTCTGCTCCCATGTGCTAGGGAGGTTCACACACACACAGCCCCAAATGGGGCGTACATGCTTCAAGTAGAGTACCATGGAAGGCCGGCCTCGGCAGCCTTTCGCTTTGTCATACGTTTGCTTCTACCAACCGACAAAAGCATGAACACTGAATGCAAAACAACATGTACATGATGTGTGCTCAAAGCGGTGGCATCCTGACGTTCCTATGCGCAGGCTTTTTTTGTCGTGCGAGGCGGATCTTGCAGCACTCATCCGTCCTGAAAATTAGGGTCCAACAGCGAGTCTGTTGGGACAGTCACTCATGATCTTGAAATGGCAGCGACACCTGAATCCTGCACGTACCAGCATTTTAGCACAAGCGGTTTTTGACCGCTTGTGCTGAATAGTAGGATGCACGATATCATAAGGTGCAATCGAGTCAGAAGACCAAGGATCTCGAGATGGAGATCGGTGTTGTTCTTCAGCCAGGTGTGACGTTGCCGTAGGTGATGCTGATGATGTTGAATGCGAAGACCGTGTCCTCTTTCGTCTTGTAGTGTGTAGGTGTTTGCGTCGTTGTTGTGTTGTGGATTGGGATGGTGGTGAGTTGTTGCGTGTTTTCTTTGTTTTCATGACTGTTTTGTCCTTTTTGTCTTTGTTGTCTTTCTTCTTTTTTGTCCTCGTTGTGTGCTTTGTTTTTTGCTTGTGTGTGTGACTGACTGCATGGGAGGATGTGGTGGTGTCGTCCTTCCTCAAGAAGGCATCAATCTCTTCGGATCCCCATAGGCTGCTGTCGTCATCCTCGTCCATCTGTGTGCGATGCTGTCCTAATGTGTTTCAGCAACTGTAGTTCAGAGAAATGGCTGCGGAGTCACAACTGCATTGAGGCATGTGCATACGCTGATCTTCAGAAGAGAGAGAGAGGTACACAGAGACATCAATTGATTAACCGCGCAGACCTGCATGAACTTTCGACATGATGCTCTTAATGTTGAACCTCATCAGATATGATGGAGTTCGCAGCACAGCTTTGCTGTGTGATTGTTGGCTGCCGGGGGCAGCAAATGTGCATCTAATTGTCAACTCAGCAATGCTGCTCACGGAGTTCTTGATCGCTTTCGCTTGTTGGATGTAGGAGTTGATGTAGTAGATACTGTCTCCTTTTGGGTAGGAGTCGTTGATGTCGGACGCTGATCAGGTTGCTCCGAATGCTTTCGTATCCACTCTTGAGATGCGATAAAGTACTCTCGCCACCATGAAGAGCCGTTGGTGGCCCAATGCCATCTCCATTGTGATGCCGTCGGAGATCGCGATCTGGTGCGTTGTTCCATGGTGCTAACACAACTGGTTGTTTTTCAAAATGCTGCGGGAAATAGTGCATCAATCGCTGCATAACAAACATATGTGAAGTGAGTGCACTGACTGTAACAATTGGCAAAAACGACTATCATTGTTTTCACCGTCCGCTGCAAAGCGCCCGATGACGGTATGAACATGGTTGATCACCTATTGCTGCGAAGCTTCGAGTCGTTCCACTCGTTGCTTTAGCTCTGTGATCTGCCGGGTTGTTTGAAGAATAAACTCGGCTAATTGGTCGCGTAGCGCCCCGTCACTGAATGTGGAAGGTTCGCTTCCAGTTTCCGAATCATAGTCCCGATGCTGTGTCAAAATCTCCATGATGGCCTCAGAGAGAGCTTCACGTCGTGCCTCATCGATGGGCGGTGAAGCTGTAGTCGCTGTGTTTGTCGGAAAAGATGCTTCGCTCATGGCTCTATGTCGGGATTCCAATAGGTGTCACTCTGAGGCATAAAACTTCAGAAGGCAAAGTTATGGGGCATATCCGCAAGCAACATATGTTCAAATGCAAGAGGTGTGCACTACCTGGCTCTTTTTATACCAGCGGATTCAACAGCACATTCAGGACCAGTCTGGTGTGTTTTGCCTCATAAGGCTCTCGAGAATATCAAGTTGCTGTTTGCACGATGCCATAATGGCAGTGGTGGCTTCGTGTTGAGTAGTTAACACCGTTGTGGCCTGCTGTATCAAGCGTTCCAGCTTGGCATTCGATTCAAGCAACGAATTGTGAAACTGTGTTAGTAACTCAATCATCTCAGCCGATGAATCCGGACCAGAATGAGGCGGAGGTGGAAATGGCGGAGTCGCCGGTGCAGCCACTGCTGCGTCCTGCTGTTCTTGCGGATCTTGGTGTTGCTCTTGGTAATCTTGGAAATCTTCGTCTTCTGCAACACGTAGAAACTGAGAGCGTAAAGGCGCCGGCTGTTGAGTGTGGCTGCCAACAGCAGGCTGTTCGTTGCGGCGTCTGCTGTGCTTGGAGATGGATGGCCGAGGGCGGCCGCTCAGCGCTTTGTGGCTCGGCTGCAATCTGCCAGTCATGGCACTTTTATACATGATGATGCCTCAGTTAGTCCCTGTAAATGGCTGCGGGAAACACTGTGTTGGTACAAGGCGTCTCACATGTTGCAAAGTTGCATGGCTCTGGACGCACGCACTGCAACTTGGCACAGTGTTTTTGCTTACAGCTGTTGATCAGTGTAGCCGGCAGCGATGTACAGATCGCGCATGGCTCGAATGGCTGATGTGGCCTCGCTGCATGGTGTTGTCACTCTGCGTACCATGCGTGTGCGGGCCTGAAAACTGCTGCGAAGTGTTGCAACAGAGGTCGCCGACTGTGGGTGTAAAATATCCGCCTTGTGTAAAGTGCAGTGATGCGTAAGGCTGCTGTGCTGAGGGTTTATGGCGAAACCCAGGAAAATGTTGGCCGGTTCAGTTTCAAGCTGAACCGGTGGTTTGTAGAAAGATGCGTCAGTAAGCTGTGCAAAAGGAGGCAGTCGGGTCAGCTGTGCAGGCAGTAGAAGGACGCGGTTGTCGACGTATCTGGTAGCAAAAAAGTAAGCTTGATCCTGCTTGTTGTGGTCTGGAAAATGCTTGTGGTTCGTGAAAAGTTGCTTGTATGTGTGGTGCCAACACTGCTCTTCTACAGCAACCACGATGTTGCATAAAGCTGGGCTGCAGGGCGAGCC